TTTGGGATGGTTTTAGTTGCTGCCTCCTGTACAATGTTACGGACCTCCGTCCATAGTTCTTCAGGCACTCTGTCTACCAAATCTAATCCTCTAAATCTATTCATCCTTGCCAAGGTAAGAAGGACAAATATAAGGCCATTCTGATCCAAGGTTATTGAGAACTGCGAGATCTAGAACAGGAACAGGCTCTCATATCTTCAGACTGTTTACGCAGTTGATTCAGGTCATTCTACCACACTTGGCTGCAATTATTACTCGTGATATGCCAGCTCCTTCTCAAATAATGCCCTCCATATGTTGGATTACATCATTCCACACTATCCTATCACTGTATATATTGGCTAGAGAAAAAGGGAGGTGTAATTTTACTGTATTGCACACTTATTAAAGGCTGTTTTCATGGCTGTAGAAGGGGGGGAGGGGAGAAGTGTCATGATGTAAACTCCACCCCAATAAATTTGCATGCAATGTCATAATGCAAGTATGAAAAAATGGAGTTGTGCTATGACATCATGACACACATTTTGTTATTTTGTCATTATTTTAGCTAGGAAGGGATAGTACGGTTTTGGCGATTCCCACTGACCCTTTTCACCATTTTCTACCTGATGTTTCTGATTTGGGATTGTTCTTGTTTCCCTACCTTGTTTTGTTGTTCCTCACCTTTTTTTTTTGCACTGTTGAATACTATCTGGGCTATTTCTCAGTTGCTTCTTTCCTTTGATGGCCATTTCCAAAATAATCTGCTTTAATTCTTGGCTTGGCTTTTTCTTCCTTTGTAGTGCGATTCTCTGAATGCAGGCTTGTCCTGGAGTAGCTTCCTGTCTCATACGTCTTCCTTCTGTTTGGGTATCTGCAGCTTTCCTCTCTCTTGCAGATCACCAAAGTTGGAGAAAGCTTATACAGTATGTTGAAACCGGGAATGTCTCTCAGAGTTCAAAGTAGTTGCTTGGAGTTTCAAAATGGTGTTCCTTGTATGGCAGGGAAAAAGTCAGAAAGTGATTTGGGATTGCTAAATCACCTGTTCTTTGGAACTAGACTTCTGGTATTTGCCACAAAAAAAAAAAAAAAAAAAAGTTGCAGGGCTGCTTTTAAACTATTCAGAGAGAAAGCCACCAAAATGATGAAAACCAATTCTGTTTGGTTTTCTGGGCCACTTTCACTGCCCAAATTTTCAGAAGTTGTCTGAAGTTCATGCAGGTTTGTCTTCACTTCTGCTGACATGACATGGGAGCAAAAGCCACTTCATGCCCTGGGCTGTTGGAAGTTCACCCACCTCTCCACAGGAAAGGGGAAGAAAAGAAAAATATAATTTGGCATTTTGCAAATTGGCTGCCCCTCTGCTGGGAAGAGAGAGGAAACAGACCAACTATAGTCAGCTTCACCCATCTATTTCCTTTACACTACTGAGGGAGAAAGCCCTGCAAAGCCTTGGAGATAGCATTCCCCTTGAAGTTAAGAAGCCAAGAAGAATGCTGGAACGTGGTTCTCCCCATGGGGAAATGAGACACTGTCTTTTTTTTTTTTAATACCTATCTTTGCAATGGTTTCAAATACACCACAGCCAAAACAACCCTCTCACAATTCCAAGGCACCTCTTTGGAGTCATTTTCAAAGCAAACACACCCCAAACATACACCCTGTGCTCACATAGATTATCCTGATGCAGGTAAGAAACAAACAAACTTAAGGAAATTGGAATATTTCCAGCTGTATGACAGCTTAGAATAAAATAAACGTTGAATGTAGCCTTGTTTGATATGGAACTACTAGAACCTTCGTGCTGAAATGAGACCTCTCTCTTTTGTAAGCAGATAGGCTTTCAAGACCCAGAGCTTTTAATAAGGTTGTAAGTTCACAGGCTTGGTCAATAAAATATTAGTAGCCAGAAAGCTTACTTAAGTTGATAAATCTTCTGGTGAGGTACCTTCCTCATATTAGTTGTATATTACTATTTGCATGGTGCCCAAGACCTGTAGTGACTGGCAGTGACCGGCGCTGGGGAGACCCAGGTTCAAAACCACCCTCCCGCACCAAAGCTTTATTGGGCAACTTTGGGCTAGTCACTGTCTCTCAGCCCAACCTGCCTCACAGTGTTGTTATTATGGGAAAAAAATGGAAAGAGGAAGGCTGCAGAGGAACATCCAGTTTGCAAAACACTGAACCATATATCTGCTGCCTTGAGCTCCTGAATGAAATCTAACAATTAAATAACAATAAATAAATTAGTAGCTAATCTGAATAATACTTCAAACATTCTGAAGAGTATTGGGCCATATCTTTATCCACCAGTCACAGGAGATCATTGAAAATGAGCAGACAGAAACTGCTGTTTTGAATTAAGGCTAAGAGTAACTTCTACTACAATAAACCATCTGTTTATTGTAGACCTCAGTGCAGTAAACTTAATAAAAAACAGGGGGTTTTTTTGTTTAGACTTCAGTCCTTTACCAGATCAATGTATGTTAAATCAAACTTTTATTACAAATGTTGTCATTTACATCACTATATAATTATGCAAATGATGTGAATTAACAAAAAAATTATTTAACTTTGGATATAATAGACATTTAGATTGAACAGACTTAGCTCCCCCTGAATAATCTATTAAATAAAGGCTGATAACCATCAGCTACCAAAGGCCCTCTGCAGCAGCTCTGTTATTACTTCTTTCCAAATGGTTTGCATGGGGTAAGATGGGGGTGGGGCAATATGATGTCTAAAGAAAGGCTTAAAAATGTACCTTTGATACCTTCATCTTGGAATATAAACCCACTAATTAAATTGTGCAAGATATCTCAAGTGTTAATGGTGGCTCTTAAGTGAGAGTGTCCTAGAGTGAGAATATACAAAATATTGCCAAGCTTTGAATTCTTGTGAGCATTACTGAAATCAACAGGATGGCTGCAGTTTATTTTCAAAAGTGTTATTAAAACACTGTTGCACCTTTTCATGTAGCAACTATGGGCACCTTCATTTCATTGTTATTTTTTTCATACTTGCAAACCTCTTCTGACCTGAGGATTTCTTCTCAGAAGTAGCCAGGAGAACACACACCACCCTTCTTATAATAATATGAGTTATTTTTCTTTAATTCAATTAAATAAAATGAAGTTTTTGTCCCAATCCTGATTATCTGTTGGAATACGGTCTCTAGCATTTAAAAAAGCCAAGGACAGCCTCAGATCTGCAAAAGACTGCGTACTCCTGTCTTTAACTCTCAGAGAAGAAGATATGTGCAGACCATACTTTTCAAACCACTTGTTCTGCAGTATTTACAAGGCTGCTACTCTTCTCCAAACTGGAATCCAGAAAATCATAATCTTGAACACTAACATGTTCCATCTAAATTCAAGTGTTGAAATAGGTTAAATAGGAGTCAAAGAAGAAAGATTAAAGATTAAAATGGAAGTTAAATATAACACAGATTTTACAAGAGAAATGTAGCACAAGCCAAGTTCTTCCTTGTTTTTACACTGAAGCAATGAAATCCCAATTCACACGCCCAGGAAAGAAATTACACAAACCAGTTCAGGAGAGAAAGTTTGCTTAATTAACGTTAAGCTTTCTTCAATTTGAGCTTTCTCAAATGGTGCATGTCAGAAGAGTAGCAAGAAGAAAAATTATAGGGAATAGGAATGTGCAACTAGGAAAAAGTAATCTGAAATTATGGGAAACAGGCTAATGCAGAAACCGGTTTACAAAACTGTATATCTTAAATCTGCTCAATTCAATCTGTGGATTATAAAGGGATGAGAAAAAGCAAATTATTTAAAGAGAAGAAAAATTAATAAATTGAAAACATGCAAATAAGAAAAATAAAGACACGGTGAGCAGAGCATGTGGGCCTATTTCCTTTTACCAGCACTCAGACGTCTGCCAGCCAATTCTTTAACTATAGCCATCTTTTCTTAGCTCAGCTGGAATTGAGCTAAACTCAGCAGATCATGATGGAGAGCAGTAAGATCTCCATACAAACCTTTTGAGCCTTTTACTAAGACTGTGAAACTGCCTTTCTATATTCACTTAATCTTATGAGAGGTCCAGATGTTGGCAGTCCGCCTGTCCTTTCCCACTTCATCTTCTGTAATTTTCTTGCAGAGAAAATCTATTAAAATAGAAAAAAGAAAAAAGCCTTTTTTGCTGAGCATCCTTAACAAATCCCATTCTGCCTTGCCCACCCTATTGGTGAAGCCCACTTGAAAAAGTAAGAAGTAAATCAATACCAGGAAGTTGCAACTGAAAAGAGTTTCCCAACCTGTTTCCCAAATGAGCCAAAGATTTGTAGCTGCCTTGAAACAAATTAGAATTTGCTGGGCATGTCCTGTGTGAAAGAAGTAAAATGTTCAAATGTTCAGAAAATTTCACATTTTTAAAAGCATGTAACATGTTCAGTAACTCTGCTGGATGTGGTGATGGGAGTTCACGTATTTATCTAAGAACAGTGGGTTGGGGAAACAGTTTTAGACAGTTTAGTGTAAAAAATACTTCCTTTAAGGAAAAACATTAACAATGTAACCCCCCTTCTCTGTTTTATTTTTAAAGTTATTCTCCTCCCACTGAAAGTTACAATTTCAATTTTAAGCCATGTTATTATGACTTAAATAGAGATAATGGTCTAGTACAGAAAAGCTCAGTGTTAAAACATGACTACAACTTTAAATTTTTATATTCCAATAATTTACAAGCTCAAAAGTATTTTATGTACCTTGCCAAGTATCAAGGTTACTCGTTGGGTGTAAGCCAATATTTAACTTCCCAGTGAGATTAAATGCACAAATACATTTACTTTAAAGACAGATTACAATGAAGCAATTATTCAGTAGAACAAGATGGATTCTTCTGGCTGATGGTTTCCTTGTTCTCCTCAAGAATATCACAACAGTGTTAATATATGTCCTTCGTTAGTAAGAATTTCCTTGTACAGAAATCCAGAAGAGGTAAGTCTGTACTAACAATAACTAATTCTCCTTAAATAATTTGTTAACTTTAATTTGAAATTAAGTAGGAAAAGTAGTATTTGAGTCAGAGCAGATGAAAAAATGAGCAAAGTTTTGAGATGTGAAACCAGAATGTGTAAAATGCTTAAGCAAAGAACTTAAGTTAGAGTCTAATTCATTCATACTTAAACCAACATCATTTATATATTTCAACTGGGAATTTATTTATTATAACCTTCAGCCCCATTGATTTCCATTTGAGGGTGCCTACATGCCACTCTCACCCAATACGTTAAATCTGTTACTGGCATTCAGCTATTCAATAGCAAATATATAATAAGGTCCAACAACTGAAATATAAATGGCAAAGTGAAATGAAGGTTGGGGGAGGGAATAAGGGAATTCAGAAAGAGCTTTTAAGGCTTTTAAATTACAGTTAGATTAGATGACATTTTCAAAGGCAAAATGTGGTCATACAAACATCGGTAAATTCTTTCTTTGCTTTTTAACTGTTCAGATATAATAACTCATCTACTGCAAGGATTAAGTGACATTCTATATCCCGTACAACATTGCCCACCAGAATATGCCATATACAGTATAGACAACCAGAGTGAATTATTTTATTACATTTTCCATTTTCAGAGAATGGTTTTGAATGGATATGTCTGATACAAAAAGTAGTTACACCATTTTCAAAAGGTAGCAATGGCTAAAGCAATGATCCTTCATTACACTTATAATATAGCTGGTACAGACAGGGTCCCATAAAGTAGTGCAGAGATCAGAAAAACTCCCTACATGTGAACAAATAGTGTGTTTTATTCACCTATATGCTTATGATGTATAGAAACTGAAATCCTTTCCAGATAGAATGAGTGAGAAACTTGGAAAGGAAATCTGTCAAACACTATCCATAAGTACTTTAAGAATATACTTTACCTAATTAACATGGCAAAATCAGGTAATTTATCAGCTATTATACATTGTGACTAAGGCTATGAGACTGAGTTCACATATTGCATTAAGCTATACTGCAATTTGATTTTCACAACATCTGTAAACCCAGACATTATGGTTTGTAAATAATAGTTTATGGCTAAACACTATGGGTGAATCAGACCACTATCATTTGTTCAAAAACAATAGGTAAATCAAGCCATGGGTTAAAGTATGAATGCAACCCGTGATATGTTTAAGGCTTTCCAATGGCTAAATTAAGATATGAATCAGACAATAGTTCATAGCCTTTATTCTACCTTGCTGCACCAATTAATTATGTTTAATCTTCTATCTTCAGTACATCAGAGAAAATTTTTCATCCAGGTAATCTCTTTATACAAGTTAATCCATCCATCCGTGTATCATCTTCTAATCTTATTTTGTAGTTCAGATGATCCCAACTTTTCTAAATTGGTAGGTATATCTGGATTTTAGGAAACACATGGATGCACTAGCAATATGGCTGCTGTGTGCCATGTCAGAAAAAGTCTGTTTATCAGAAAGCCAACTGGGAAAATTGATCCTCAGTATCTCCTCTGGACAATAAGAGTGCTCTCTATTTCCCTCCTCCCTTCCTTTTGTCTTTTTATTGGGCAAATTGCCTCATTTTTAAATAAACACTGGCCTACAGCTACTGATAATTTTTATTTTCTAAGGCTGCCTCCAGGGTCCATGTGGGGTATAGCTCTAGCCTTGAAATGCAAGATATTGTGGAAGACTAACAGATTGGCACAATACCAGTTTTCTGTTTATTAATCTAAACTTTAAAATCTAAAATATATTTTAAAACACAGGTGGGGCAGGAAGCTTACCAGCATCAATGGGAGGGTTTGCTGGACACTTCTGTTGTAGATTGTTCTTTTTTGTGTTAATATTTAACATTCTGATATCTGAATCTACCATGAATCAAATCACTTACATCCTATTCCATTCTTATCCTTTATGTCTCAAGTTTATCCAAATAGTTGTACTTCTATACAACTATATATCTCATCACATGTGCTAAGACATGCATTGTTTTAAAGTTCTAACAATAAGAACTTTAAAGAACTTGTTTTTTAAACAAGCTTGAAGTCATTTGTCCCATGACATGTAACATAAGTTGGTATTTTTGTGACACAAAGCACTCTTGTGACCTTCTAGCTGTGTGGCACTTCTTAGTGTCCAGCAATGGGCTGGGGAAGTTGGTCATCAATATATTATTTTAATCAAATAGAATTATAAGTTAAAAATCCATTGGTATAATTTAATTACAGGGTATATAGCAATAAGGTTTTATGAATCACAAAATTTATTGGTAATACTTGACACAAAGATTAGTTATTCTTACATAGTAGTATACATTAAAGACTATAGCAGTAATTGTGCTGGTTTTCATTGTTAAAAAAACTGTATCATTCTTGTTTATGCAGGAAAAATATATTGTTACAGCCTTGAAAGAGAAAGCCCTCTGTTAATTTTGAAGATTTTTTTTTAATGTTTTAAAGATGTTAAGCTGCATTTGGTTAAAATGTTTACAAAAATGTTAAGTTGACATTGCAATGAAGTTTTGCAAATATGATGAATGAACATCAAGGCCATTCTAACCTCTCTCTAAACAAAATGGGCTTAGGAACAAATACAGGCTTCCACTTTTACAATCAAAATTTATAAAGCCAGGTATTCTCTGCTTATTTGTCAGTCATAAGCTGCACTGAGTCAAGGCTGGTCTGTTGCAACTTTCCTAAATGGTCTGTTCCTGGGTACAGTCAAAAATTAAATAACTTCTAATGCTGGTTGATCCATGATATTCTGAATTTAAAATGCAAATATTTCAAGCTTGTCCATTATTACTTTTCATATAAATGTAGCTGCATATACAAGTTTTTCTGCATTTTCCAGCTTTGCTCAACATGGTGGGACTATAAGTCCAAAAATCTCCAGTAAGCATGGACACAGATATGTTATAAACAAATGTCATCTATTCCTCTCTGGATAATTGTGAATTCTTGGTTCTACCATATATAGATGACTGACACATATTTTTGTTTTTAAGGTCAGTTAACTGAAATATGGCTGCTTTTCAAAACTTCACCCGTTCTCTGGAAGAGACTTTCAAGAACATTTTTATTGATTATATGAACAATTGGCGTAGAAACACCACAATGGAAGAAAATGCCTTGCAAGAAAGAGTTGATGCTGAAAACTTAGATTATGTCATTTTGTATCTGATGGTAATGATTGGCATTTTCTCTTTCATAATTGTGGCAATCTTAGTAAGCACAGTGAAATCAAAGAGACGAGAGCATTCCAATGACCCTTATCATCAATACATTGTGGATGATTGGAGTGAAAAGTTAAAAACCCAGATTCTGTTCCAAGATGATCTTAAATCCATTGTCCATGAAAATTTTGGAGTAAAAGACAAAGCTAGCCATAATCACTAAAAACTGTATTAAGAAGAATTGAAGAACTGGGATGAGGGGTTAGGTGGTTATTCTCTAATGTAGTGGCCTCCAGATATGGTAGAACTTGTATTCTGTGTGTAACTATAGGATATCAGATTAAGTTAAACGTTAAGATTCAATATCTACAGGCAGACAATAACTTTGTTAGTACTAACCAACTATGCACACAAACAAAACAAAGCTTTCTAGATATCTTCATCAGCTGAAGAAATTACAAGCTGGGTTAAATCAGGGAAGCTAGTTTATATTCTGAAATTCCAGGCAGTCACTCTTCTAAGAATTTTTATAAGGCTGAGTGATTAAATGATTATAAAAAAATATAAAAATACATCAACTGCTTTACCAAAGAAAAGGGGTGATGCCACCCAGATACTATGATACTTCTTCCAGAGAGACATTCCACCACCACCACCACTACCACCACCTTTTTTTTGTTTTTTGCTTCACCTAACCTGCCACCAGAAGAAGCCAGAGGACCAGAACTCTGTCACCTCCAACTCTTTCCTGCTTCATCAGTTGTGACCGGGCCCATCGTCCTCAGCGAAGCCCCTGGAATCTGCCAGCCCAGAAACAGGAAAGAAAGCTGCAATAAGCATCTCTACCTGTTCAAGGAATTTGCTGGTTAAACCACTCATCATTGTTCTTATTAGGGTATTACATGAACTGCTCTGGACGTCTTGCCAGCAGATGAACAAGACAATCCTGATCAACAAATGAAGCAATTCAGCCTTTAGGAAATATTAGCACTTTTTACATTTTAATTTGTGCAAAAGTAGGAAAGTAATTGTTAAGCTGAATAACTATTTTAGCCTTAATTTTTGAAACAAATGTGAAAAAATAGCTTTATCCAAGATTTATGCTGTTCAGAATCAGAAATTTCCAAATTTAGCAAAGCATTAAGACCATTGCTTTTATTTACTGTTTCTGTTTTACAACTGATCTTCTTCAGCTACACTAACAGGGAAAAAATTGAGAGTTAAAATCCACAAAGGAAAACTTTATTCCCCAGTTAACATAATGATTTATCTCACTTTTGTTATTAACATTCAGAATATCTGCATCCTTCGAATTTCTTAATCTTCCTGATCAAGAGATTGATAATGACCCATCCATCTAGATGAAAACACCCAATTGGTTTGGCCAATTTCAAAGAGCCAGTGGGAAACCACCAGGAAACCCCTGGATATTGGTAAAAAAAAAAATTCTGAATGAATACTTCTGTATTGTTGCCAACAAAGCCATAGGAGTTCAATTCAACTTGAAGACTTTACTTTTAACTTAATAAATGACCTTCTAGTCCAGGGATTCTTAAGACTAAGATTCATTTTTTCTTGACCAGGTATGTTGCTGATTTTATGGAACTGTTATCAGCTGCTTCTTTTGTGAATAGGATGAAAACATGGGAGGATGAATCAGTGGGATTCCACCCTTTGCTAAGGAACGTATTAATAGAGTGACTGAAAGTTTTGTTTTATGTAACCTAAAATTACAGTTCTTTTATAACTGTGTGGACATTCTATCCATTTAGAATCCATTAACACTGTCAGTTATAGCTGTTGCATGATTCTTACCTGTTACTTTAAATGTATAGTAAAATGTATAGTAAAAATATAGTAATATATGCTACTATATTTCATGGAACTTAGTCTGTCTTAGTTTAGAGGCTTCTTATATTATGATGCTAGAATTAACTGTAGTATATTACTGTATCAATCATAGTCTATACTGTGCTTAATTATACTGTGCTTAATTAATAAATAAAATTTCTGAATGTAATGAAAGAAAAAAGGAAGCAGCTTGAATTCTAGCTCTGGGGAAGTAGCAGACAATACTACATCGGAGTTCTAGAAACATCTTTAGGATACAAAAGAAATTAATGGGTGAACTGACATTTTTCGAAGTGCTAATGCTCACTCCGTGCTCCACCTGTACATATGTAAATGAATCATCTATTACCAAACACCATAAGCCAACTCCAATGACCTTATCATGGGGAATCAAACCCTGGAAAAGCCTTTGCACTCCTGGAATTGTTACTGCTTGGGGAACTGGGGTACAACGGTGTAACATCATGCTCCAATAAGCACCATATTTGGTGAATGTGAACATCCTAGTGCAAATGCTGACCACAGCTAGGCCATTTCTGTGATTCTCTCACTTTTTGCATCTGGAAAAATTAATGCTGACAATTACTTTTAGAGGACAATATTTACAGTATTTTCATTTTTAAAAAAATATAATTTTTATTGAAGAAATTTTTGACAAGATAAAAATACAAATACTGGAAAAGAAACAAAGAAAAGAAAAAGAAAGAAAGAAAGAAAGAAAGAAAGAAAGAAAGAAAGAAAGAAAGAAAGAAAGAAAGAAAGAAAGGCTATAAAGAAGCAGCTTCTGATCTTTTTGATAGTGGTTATAAATACATTTATATTTTACTCTCTCTCTCTAAGGTTACATAATAATTTCCTTCTTTCCATAAGCTACCCTTTACAAGTCCACCAGGCATGATAAAAAGACCCTTCATGTTGTCCACATTTCCAACATAAATTTGAAGTACCTTTATACATTCTAGACAATGTTTCTGGAGTCATATACCAATGGTGCATCACTTTATAAGAAATCTTTTATGTTATAAGGTAAATTTCAATCTTTTTAACTACATATTTTCCCATTGTTCCATTAGTATATTGTGTCCAAAGTTCTTAGCCCATTTTACTGTACAATCTTTCACTTGTTCCATTTCAGATTTCATTAAAAATTTATACATTTTAGCAATCACATGTTCATTATTTGTGCATAATTCAACTTCAAATTCTGTCTTCAGCTGCTCAATTCCAAATGTCCTATAATCTACCTTAAATCTTTCTCTTAACTGTGCATATGTAAAACATTGAAAACTAAAATCTCTCTGCAGTCAATTGCTCTCTTGATTTCAACTTATATTCTCCATGTTCCTATTCTAACAACTCTTGAAAAGTTAACCATTTTTCTTTACCTACTGTTGCTTTCCTGTAAAACGCTTCTTGTGCTGAGACCCATAAAGGCATTTTTGGGCACAGCCTGGGTTTATATCTGTTCCATATTCTCAATACGGCACTAATATAATGATTCTTAAAATCTACATTAGTCTTAACTTTATTGTACAATAGAAAAACATGCCATCCAAACCTTAGATTGTGCTCTTCTAATTCTAAAATTCTCTTATTTTTTAGCAAACCCACTCTTTCATCCTGACTAACCAGCAGGCTGCAGAATTCAATTTCAAATCAGGCAGTCCCAATCCTCCTTGTTCCTTTGCATCCTGAAGCACTTTACATTTAACTCTTGGTTTTTTCCTTTGCCATACAAACTTAGATATATCTTTCTGCCATTGTTTAAATGGTACATCAGTTGTCATAATAGGTATTGTTTGAAACAAAAACATCATTCTTGGCAAAACATACATTTTTGTCACAGAAATTCTTCCCAACGACAGTTGTAATTTCTCCCAACTTAATTTCATTCCATATTTTAACATAATTATTCTGGTATAACATACAATTCATGATAGACATAATGATACCCAAATATTTCACTTTTTTCTTAATCATAAAAACTGAAAAAAATGATTTTTTTATCAATTCCATTTGTTCTTCCATTTTCATATTCTTTGTTAACATCTGCCTTTTATTAATTTTAAATCCAGCTAACACCCCGAAATCCTTTAATTTTTTCATTAATATTTCTATTTCTTCCAGAGGATCTTCCAAATGCCCGTAATTTATACAGTATGTTTCTCTTTTCATCTTTACTCCAGCAATTCTCTCATCTCATATCTCTATTCAGTACTTCCAAATAAATTGCGATGGCAACAAGGGGCATCCCTGTCAAGTCCCTTTCTGTATCTCACAGGGTTTTGTTAATTCCCCATCACAATTATCTATGCCTTTTGAAAGGTATAAATCAATTTTACCCATTTAATAAAATTCCCACCAAAGTCCATATCTTCCAAAAATTTAAACAAAACAGTTCAAATTGTCGAAGGCTTTTTCTGCATCAAGAAAAATCAGTGCTGAAAATACAGCATTTTCAGACATTCATAAAAGTAAATAAAACATCTACATGTTGAAAAACAAAATAAATCAACATGTGTATATGACTATTTTAATTATAGTCAGTAGGGCTTGAAATAACCTCATGTCAGAATTTCAACTTCTTATCTTGTTCCAAGCCCTCCAAATCCTGAGTTTTTGTTGATAATGACTGTACTGTATTTCCCTTGACTGAGTGACAAAGTTAACTTTTTAAAAGAGAGAGAGAAAGCGAATAATAGCCAGGAAGACGACATTTAGGTGTGATGGACTGCATTTGGACTATCTTCTAGAAAGTTTGTCTAGTATTACATCTGAAATTTTCTAGAATCTTTTGGATCTGCTGAAGCCTTTTAGTATGTTATTAGAGCTGATAAAGGTCTTAAAGGTGAATTAGTATTCTTATGAGCTGTCTGAATATTATTATTGTCTGTTCATATTCTGCTGATTTTAACTTGCATGTTATTCTTTTAATTTATCAAATAAATAATAAGAGAGCATCTGTGTCAAGACAGTATCCTTAGGAGAATGCCTTTGCCATCTTGTCAGGTCATTTGTTAGCCTGTTCAGCTTAACAGGAGCTCATTCAAGAATGACAATGAAAAAAAGTTAGGTGGTGAAACGTCTCTGAATGAGTCATGTCAAATACTAAAAACATTATTGCTAACAGAAATGACTTGGCAACCCATCTCTCAATAAAAGAGAGTTGTACACTGCTCTGTTTCCTAGTTTAGCAGCCGTTAAACAAGAAGCAAAAGTTGGAGAAAGTCTGGTTGCTTGTGTTTGCTGAGAACCTAACTACAAATTCATGGAAATTTCAGATTAAAGCAACCGGTCCTGTCTGGTGATTATTTGATCGAATAAGTAAATTTGCTTCATCACATCATCAGCCCTGCAGCAATTTCTAACATTTTGCTGTAACTCAGGATATGTGCCTGTATCAAACAATCCCAAAACAAGTTTATCAGTGAAAAGTAGGATAAAAACGTTGGAAACAATAAATCCTGCTTGTAATTGCAAACATTAGACACAAATTCTTCAAAATTCTCTTTCAATATTAGTCTCTTTTAATGAATTAGCACAGGTTCATTTTTTTCACTTTTCTTTTGCTATCTAATCTGTACAGTATTGTGTTTTAATCTTTTGTAAACTGCCTGAAACGATATTGAGAAAAACAAATACAAAACAGTTCCCTGTCATTCCTCCCACATAACCCATCCTTGAAAGTAAACTGCCTATTCATTCTAGAAGCCGCTTGATAAACCTTGTTTAGGCCAGCTAAGCTCGAGGTGCGTGGTTCACTTCAGTGGCTGTTTTCACACACCACCTGTTTTAAACATGGTTTGTTCAACAAATCACAATTGGTCTGCTTGGTGCACACCGTTGAACCATATCGGGGTTCACATACCTCACCAAGCCAAAAGACAACATTACAGTCAGAGCAAAAAGGCAAAGCGAGAATTTGGGAACTTGTAGATTTAGCTGCTTTGCTGTAATCCCTGTTCACATGTGAAAGTGCACTTTTAACATCCAAATTAATTTGAACTTGAAAAAGAAGAGGGAGAGTGCGTACTTCAGCCTTCAACACCGGTGGCGCCAAAAGGGGACGCCTCTTCTCTCACTCGTTAACATGATCCAAATAGCAAATTCCATTTTCCTCGCAGGGCTAGTGCCGAAAGGGTTAACTGCTTACTTTCCCCCCCCTTGCTGACGTATTGGGCGCTGCAGCAGCGAGGTTTCTGGGAGTCGTAGGCTCTGGTAGTTTCCTGTGTTTAATGGCTTCCCGTTTTAAGGTACTGTAGTTTTTACGTAACAAATTACACAGCGCTTTTAGGATTACTTGCCAGAAAGGATGATTTAAACAAAAAGCCTATCATGAAAAGCAACAGTGCTGTGGACCTTATGTTCGGTATTTTAACCTTTATATTGCATCAAGAGCAATGCTTTTTAAGTTCCTATTTGGTCTACCGTTCAGTATCCCATAGCAGTAACTCTGCATTTGGAGTTCAGCTTAGCTGGACACCGAGGCACAGTTTGGACCAGCACGCGTGGAATTCAGTTGCACTGTTCAGACGAGGCAGACGTTAGAGAAATTATCTTTGTTTCCTACTTGCATAGGTTTAACCGTTTTCCGAATCGTCGTAGGTAGTGGAGTATGTTGTAGGCCGGGCCAGGCAATGCGGTTTTTCTCCGGAAATAAATAGCGCTTATCTCAAGTAGGAGTGCAGATGTTTACAATTTCTTAGGAGTAAAGCTCAGTGGAAATAGACTTCTGAATATCGAAGATTGTGCTGAAACACAAGATTGTGCTAAGACTGCAACTCTGTCCACTTATTCAATGGCGTTCTTATAAAATAAACGTTAATTTTTACAGTGAAAGCTTTGCATTTGTATTCCCGATTAACCTGGATTAAATCTGCAGTTCTAGTAATCAATGAGTAAATCATAGTGGGTTTATTTTAGTGTGAACATACGCAGTATCTAGTTTGTAAGTCACACAGAACCATAAAGTAGTTGATTACATCTAACAAATTCAGCACACATAACTAGTTTATGGTTCTGGATGTTTTGGAAATCCAGGAAAATGAACTGTGGATGAGCATGTCATACAAATAAAAACAGGATTTAGATTTTGAACACATTTAGAATATCAAACTATGGGGGGGAAATATATGTAGCTGAATTAAACCATCAGACTGGTTTAGCGTGTTAGAGCCTTGTATGAAAGTTTGTGCGTAGTGTTTGGTGAGAGTTAAACCAAATCAGTTTTTAAAAAATCGAAAGGGGAAATCAGGGATTAAAAGGCAATGGAACTGAAGCAACTAACAGCCACACAATCTGGCACAATATTAAAACATGTATGTTAGTCCTGGCCTGAACTCCTATAAAGATATCCACAACTTGTGTTACAAATACCAGAATTATTTCATAGAATCATAGAATTCAAGGGTTTGGAAGGGTCCCTAGAGATTAGCTAGTCCAGTTCCCTGGACAGTGTAGAAATTCACTATAGCAGCAGCATGTCCAAGCTGACATCCAACTTGCTGGCTTATGCTCATTGTTCCAGTTTGTCAAGATCCTCCTGAATCTTGGTACTGTGTTTGTTATCCCCCTATTTTTGTGTGATCTGCAATTTTAATCATATTTTCTAACCCTTCATCCAAGTCACTTAGGAATATGTCGAACAACACAGGACCCAAAAAGGAGCCTTGCAATATGCCACCTGATGTTTCCACACAGTTTGATACGGAGCCATTAATGTACACTCATTGGGCACAATTGTTCCGTCAGCTCTGATTCCATATCATGGTAACAATCCAACTCACATAGTGCCATTTTTTCTGCTAGAGTCTCATGGGAGATTTACTGTTCTGATGGCTTACATTCCAGGCCCTAATGATGTGCTAATTTGGCTAAGGTCTTCACATTTTGGGAAGCAGCATGTGATGATTTGTCTCATCCACAGTATATAACACAGAGCTGAAGAACAGTTTTTGAACGTGGGCATTCCGAAGCCATCCTCTAAAACTGATGGAGCCAAGAGAAAAACTAAATTTGATTTTATTTAATTAAAACTAAATTAAAATGCACATCTCTTTCCCAATATATTTTCAGGTCTTCTTTTCTTCCAGCCTGAAGTGCTTCTGTGTTTTCATTTTGATTTGTAAGTCTCAGCTGAAAGTCTTCTGTAGAAAGGGATACTTTTTAAAAAAGACATAGTAACCGCAACCATTTAAAACAGCAGCCAGTTTTCCTTTGTGCAGCTGCTCTCTGGCTCCTATGTGATCCCAGAAAACAAGGGGCTGCTTTAAAGAGTTGTAGATAGCTGCTATGTTTGTGTCCCCACGTGCTCTGAAACATCTTTTGAGAATCAAATTTGAAGCATTGTATAGCCTTAGTTTACAAATAAATATTGATCATTAATAATACTATTTACCTGATACTATTCAGGTTGTTGTTGTTTTTAACAGGACTTTGTGGACGAATTTGGAGGGCTCTGACCCTGTTAGTCTTTCATAAGATCTTGAAAACCTGGTTCCTACCTCCCCCTTGTGGCTTTGGACCAGAACATTGGATGAACTCATCCTGAAATGACTTTGCATTGGAATATGTTGTGTCTTGGCCTTGTTTATGCTATATTGTGGTGTTTTGTGTGCTTTGCTATTGGTTTTCTCAGTTTCTCTGTTTTCAGCTATATGTAAGTTACTCACTATTTGTGAGGTGGGCAGCCATATAAATCATCTAAGTAAATAAACAGTATAAAGTCCTGACATAGCATTAGGTCTCGCTATCAAGCTTTTGTTAGGAGAAACTTTGTGGCTATAGGAAAACAAACCATGATCAAATATAATTAACTCATATCACCACTTTATCTGACTTTGTGGGGAAAAGATAAATATGAAACTTGGTATCTCTACATGATTCCAAGGGTCTCAAGAACATAACTTTGAAAAGCCTTCAATATTATGAATAAATCATACTTCTGTTCACTAGAAAACCTTACTTATCAATGCACTTTTTAAAATAGATGCAGAGATATATAAACAAAGGTGAAAACAGAGAAACAGGTCATTTGAAATAAATATAGATTAATGTTTTTGGAATAAAGTTGCAGTGAAATATATAACATATTAATCATACATTTAGAATTAGCTTCCATTGAAATCCTTAATTTATTTAAAGTATAGATGGGTGGGCATAAATTCTCAGATAATTTTTTTTTTTCAGAGGGGGCTTTGATTCAGATAGAATACTTCTGTATAAAATAGGTTAAATAAATCAGGATTGTTTAGAATAATACTGAGGAATGTAGAAAAAAATGTGTTTGCTTACCACTATGGCCATTTCAGAGTATTTGCTCTAGAATGAAGAAATCAGATGCCAGGAAAGAGTCAAGATGTTTTTTGGTTTCAGAAAGCGGGGGTGGGTGGAGGGATATGGAGTCTGGAATACAAACAGGACAAGTTCTCAAGTTTAATAGTGAAAATGTTGCTATTAGTGCTTAATTTTCAGTTGCTGTTATTTTTTTCTTTATTTTATTCTATGTCACACATTATTAACACAGAGAACTTTCTGATTCCCCAGGCATGAACCTTTTACTGCTGCACTTCTCATTCTCTTGTCTACTGCCAGAGCCAGTCAAATTCAGCTTAACTACTAAGACAGATTGCTATTGGCAAAGGATTGGGTGGGTAAGCTGAATCCCAGTTCTTGACTTCCAAGCACTTTGTGGGCAGATTGGCAAGTAATACGCCAGATTTGGAGGAGGAATAGTCTGTCCTCTGGCCAAGTTAGTGGTTGTAGCTGAAGTGCAGCTTCTTAGATTGTTGCAACTGCCTTATGGCCATTAGAGTCTTCTGATTCAGTTCACCTGAAGGCAGATATATGTTTTCAGAGAGAAATAAGTAGTAGGTGCCCCGGGATTTTATGCCACTTCAATATGCACCTAGACGCTGTGGCATCCAGGGAGGATTGGGGGGTGTCAGAATGACAGAAGCAGCCTTGGGCTGTCATAATGCAAGCCCCGCCCCATTCCATCATTTTGATGACAGCAGGGAGCTTCTGTGAATGCCCACGCCTAGAGAGGTCTGTGTTTGAATATTTTGCCACACAGGAAACCTATAATGGAAGATGCATGGTTCAGACTGAATAGGGTTAGAACTATTCCATAATATGTCCACTTTGCATATAAAAAGACAACCTTGTCTGGAAGTTGTTCAGGTCCACAACATCTTCCCTGTAAAATACGGCAGCCTTTCTTTGTCACCTTTTAGACAGCTGACAATGTTCCCTTTTGGTTTATTTGATAATGTATTCAGTCCCTTGTTTAGAAATGCATTCATTTCCTTAGCACTAAAATTGAGGGTCACTGCTAGTACTGAATGTGCAAGGCCTAAGAAGCATTATTGGGACTTGAATGGGGACTCTGGGTTGGAGAAACTGAGCAGAAGTTAGTTGTGATTCCCTCCACTGAAACCAAAGGAAACCAGTTAGTCGTAATTGACAGCCTATTGCTTTCAGTAGGATTTACATGCAATTAACTTTAGGTGCATATGTGCATTTACCACATGGCTGGTATTTTAAAAAAACTTAACAAAGCTGATTGTTGCCAGTGAGTTCTTTTGTTTCCCTTAAGCTGAATAGCTCCTGAATAGCCACTTCCCTGTGAAGCTGTGACACCTGTCACCAACCAGTCAGGTTTGGCTGTTTGTATTGCAACTGGTCACTGCTCCTGTCACTCAGTGGAAATACATTTCCCTTTCTTGAATGCTCTGTATCTGAGGAGAACAGTTCTGTGAATTCTTATGTATGTTAAGCCTATGTCACTAATATTGACATCTTGTTAATACATATCTGTTGAAACAAATCAGTGAATTATTTTGGCAGATGATTCTGCCCCCAGCAATTTTCCATTTATCTGTGGTTCAAATAGGCTGTCTGAATATATCGCTTCTCTTCCTTCCCCAGGTGGCTTTTACAAAAAAGTATTGTTTCCTTGCATATTTGACTGGCATTCTTTGTAACATCCTAAGCTGAAAAACTACTGTGATACAGAATCAAGATGGTGCTAATGAATTGGAAGGTGAGGGACTTTTCTAATTTGAATCCTAAATTTTGGTATCCTGATTTCATAGTCAGTGAGTCAGGAAGAAATGATTCTGTATATTTTATATACATGGATACCTGTTTTGAGAGAGAACAACGTTCTGGAAAGCTGCAATTTGCATTTTTCTACTGTATGATTTATGGTTTTGCAAAAAGATCATGGCATTTTGTTTTTCACGGGAGGTTTTTCCCGTGGCCTCTTTATCTTGTTTCTTGGCTGTGGCTGTGTAAGAGCTTATCTCAGCCCACGGCTGCACACTTCAGGCTGTGTGTTCTTGTACTTTACCCACGTACTTTCTGCTGGGTCACCTTATCCTCACTCTGCTACAGAACAGATTCTATCCACGTGGTTTGGGTTTGATGCATGTGTTTTACTTATCAGAAAAACCTTCACATTTTTTGAATTGTAGCCTTTTGAACAAAGAAGTGCAAAATTTCTTCCTTAATAGATGATGTTAAAGCCGGCAAAACCTTTATGTGGGGCTCCCCAACCGTGGTCAACTCAGTGAGCCTATTTGGAATGTTAAAAGAGTGTTGTGGGTACCATCACAAATTGGCCCTCATGGAGGGCATTTCCATTTCAAAAAGGAATTCTTAGATAATTAATTACAAAGCACCTTTACAGTAATTTAGCTGAGACCATCCTCATAGGGCATAGTTAGTATGAGGGTAATTGTAACTATTCAATGACTATGAAGGCCTTCTGAATCATCATAGCTGTTGCAAGAAAGTAGTTTGAGTTTTATACATTCAATTAAATGCTCATTTTGTGGATATTCTGCTATTTAGATTATTAAATATCTCTTCTTTTTTCTGTTTTAGGCACTGGAAAATTTTCCACTACTAATCTACATTTTAGCTGCTAAAACATTAATTCTTTGCTTGGCATTTGCTGGAGTAAAAATATATCAGAGAAAAAGACTTGAAGAAAAGCTGAAAAAAGAACAAGTGGAAAAGCAGAAAAGAGAAATGGAGAAAAAGGAAAACTGAAGTATCTAAAGGTATATTTTAACTGGAATTAATGATGTTTCATAACAGTGAAGTTAAGAGAAACCCCCCATTGATTGAAACAATACATGAAGGGAGTTGTGAAGCAAGGTAGTTCATTTCACTTTCAGGCTGGTCAGAAGACCATGTGTCGTCATCATCATCATCATCAGTATCTTTCCTCGCGTGAAGAAAAACAATGTTACAGTTGTGCATACAAATAGTCCCTTTGCAAGCTCTGAAAACCTGGATGATTTCTGTTGGTGATCTCCATATTCACAGTCCTATGTCCTCAATACACAAATGCATACGTGTGCACATTGACTGAGTTTATGCAACATGCTAAGCCATAATTGGGTTTGGGTTCAGCACACTGGTTTGGTTAAGCCATGCTTTATTTTCTTTATTTGCTTCCAGGGCTGAAGGTAGTTTAATCTGTCAACTGAGTGGCATACAGCTCCCCAATACATCACTGGGATTAAAAACATACAATCTAGTAAAACAGGGACTAGAAATGGGTTAGTGTTTACGATGTAGTATGATGTTGGAACAGGCTATTATGGCATGTACAGTAAACTATAATTAAATGATCAGTGGTTCAGTGTTGAATCCAGCCTTCCTTTCAGGGTGTGGGAATGTTGTCATAACTCACATTCCTTTGAATAGTTTCATGCTTGGTGAGTTTACTGGAACTCTTTGGAACTTTAATTTAGATGTTATATGTCTGATAGGTAATTGAAAGCCTCAACTGTCATAATAGAAGGAGCACTTTCAAATTCCTGTTCTCCCACCCACTTTAAACATGACCATCATCCCATAAATAACATGTACAGTGAGATAAGTTGTTCTTATTTTCCTGTGCAGAAATACTTCCATATGGGAATGTTAATATGAGAAAAGACCCTGTCACCTGTCTTTTCACTGCCACCTTCCATTTCTCTGACTTTGCCTGATTAAAGACAAAACTCTCTCCAAGAAAGAAAAAGCATACGTCTCTTCCTTTAGGTCATGATCTTCCAGCCTTCCTGCACAACTGTATTTCAGAGTGGAAGGCTTGTGCCAAGACAGTCATCTGGAGGTTCACTATGGGAACACTGTCAACTAAAATATTTAGCTTAGTTTATAAAATATGTTGGAACAGCAGCAGCAGCAGAAGAATATATTTGAGTTAGGCACATCCTGACCCAGGCATTTTATTTGAATAAGCTGCACTACTTGTTTTGCTAGGCCTCTTTGGGGCAATCTTGTAATGAAGGCAGAAAGAGCTCCAACTCTTTTTTAAATGAAACCATCAGCTTTTCAACTTCAAGGCAATCTGAAGAACTGGAACTAATTCCTTTTATTATATGTGGAATATTTGTCTCGCATCCACATGCACTTAACACACACACTTACATGCACACAGGCACATACAAATCTTAATCTATCAGAGTAGATCAGCGTTCTCCAACATTTTACCCTCAAATATGTGCAAAAAATGTGTTTAGTGCTCTGCCTGACAATTGGGAACAGTCATTTATGATCTGAGAGCTTAGTAAGACTTCTTTTATGATATTGCTTTTAATTGGTACAGTTTATTGTTTGAAACATGATAGTTGCTGCATTCAGAACTTGTATGAATGGGAGATTTACAAAGGTGAGTTTTAGAACACAAAGCAGTTTTGTTTTCCTGGGAAAACAATGAAATTGTGAAATATAATGTTCTGAACCTCAAGTTACATGTGTATTTGCAAATTGGCTTGAATGCCCCCTTCTGGTACCTTTTAAATATTCAACTGATTAAGTTTCTGAAACTTTTATTTTAAACATTTCAAAATAAAATAATACTGCGCTAAAACAGTGCATCAGAAAATCCAAAACAACAACAACAAACAAATCCTGAAAGCCATACATAAATTACATTTTGCAAACTGAATTTAAGAAAAATAATTTGCATAAAAGTTGAGTAGTAACATGCAGAATTTTGAGACATCTTCTAAAAGAAAGGAGAATGGGAGTTAACTGAATCTCTTGAACAGCAAATTCCATATCTTGGAGCCATTGAAGATAAGACCCTGTCCTTTGGAACCACATTCCATACCTCAGATTAGAATGGCACCTGGAGTAAGAACTCATGAGGATTTAATCTAGGGCTGAGCAATTTGCTATCTATAGCCATATATGGCTGTTACTTTACTTCCAGGTGATGCTTAACCTAATTTTGGAATCCCTCTATCAGACTTTTGATAAAAATGGTCTGTTTCTTTCCTGGTAATTTTCTTTGTGAGAAAGAGAAGAAAAAAGAAAGATCAGGAAGAAGAATGGATTGTGCCACCCACATTCCACCACCACCCCTTTTTGCATGCAGCCTCCAGATTAGTTTCAACACAACATGCTTTCAAACAAATAAAGACTGTGTAGTCCAATATAACCTATCAGGCAGGATGACAGTGCCCTTTGGCTTACATTATAAGACTTTGGCGCTGTCTTCTGCAAATAGGATTAAAGATCTCAGGTTGTGAAAAAACTAGGCTGGGAGGAAATAACAAGAAGAAAAATGAAGAGTGAAACCCAGGTCCCATCTTCCTTTCCACTCCTAAATTTCTTGTGCAGAGAATAAGGTAGGCTGAGATTTGAGCTGTGAAGTTGCAGCCAAGCAGTCAGGTATACCTAAGGTACAGTAGCGTTAGGACTTGTGATGTAAGGGATTGCAGTGTCCCTTAGGAGCCCATGACATCATAGCAGAACTTGACTCCTTAATTCACGTGTTGCTTTCTGCATGAGAAGATGGAGACTTACTAGCTGCTGCAAATAGAACCATTCTATTTTGTGTGCAGATTTTCAGGCATGTGGTAGCTGACTTGGATTACTTTCTGGGAAGAGTTGAAGATTTCACTGAAATGGAGAGCTGTGCTGGAGAAATGAATTCCCTAAGATCAACATTTACTTGAACAACAATGTGTTTTAATTTTGTTGTTGTTACAGATAGTAAGAGCATTTTGTCAGTTACTTATTCAGTAAAAGCTTCCTTTGTAAAACTGGTCTTATTTGGAATTCTGCATGTTGTGTTCCATTTTTAAGTAATATAGGTCTCTCCCAATTAAATAGATAATATATTTTTCTCCTATGGAAGAAGAAAACTATTCCCTCTGCAGCCGTATCCGATCAAAGTTGCTCATGAATACATGCTACTGAAATAATTAAAGTTAGTCCTGATTGTTCTGTTGGCCTTAAAGAGAAATACATTTTGAACTGGAAGGGGAAAGGAATCAGGTATTATATCTACTTCTGCCTGTCTCCCAGTAAAATAGATAGTGCTAGCAGAATAGGTATGCTCTATGGTTGCTGTCCCCAACACTTCATTCCCCAGTATCTGCTCTGGAGAAGACTGGGGGGAAAGCACAAAGTACAGTCTTAGAATTTCACATTTGATTTAAAAAGTATCATTCCTCTCTACCCTGTCCTGCTTTTCCAAGATGAAGGTACAAACTATATGTGGAGGAAAAAAGTTATGCTAAAGTCTAAAATCTGCAGTGGTGTGATTCCCACTTAACTCCGTCAGACTTTTGAGTGGGCCTGCAGACGACTGCACTTGTAACTTTGGGGACAGTATACCTCAAAATTACACACGTTTAAAACTGCAGTCCTTTTCACTCTTGCATGGCAGAAAGTTCCACTGAGTATAATAGGACTTGCTTCCCAGTAAATATTACAGCTGTGTGCTGCAACCTTACTGAGTTGAAGAAAGACTTGTTAAGCTCTTTGGTTGCTTTCTGTGGGGCTTGAAGTTAAACATGAATATAGAACTTTAAAATGCTTCATATGGGCTATAAATGTATACATATTTTAAAAGAGTATGGCTCTTTGCAATTGCAAATACATTTTAGGTTGCCTAATTCATCTCTCATTCTCCAATTGCCAAGGGATATAGGTCTGTCATTAACATGGGAATAGATTATTGCCTTACCAGAATTTTTAAAAATATCCCCCCTTGCCCCATGGCAACATGCCTTTTCTTTTTATACAAATGAAATAGTATGAGGCTGTGTAAGGCTTATTAGGTTGGGTTTCATTCTGCAATGTTTGAAGCAAGAAGCCACTTAAATGATCCAGTATGATCATTTGTTTCATTCCTGGAGCCAGATTAGTTATAAAACTCACCTATACTTTAAACTTATACAATGGTCATTTCAACAGGTTTTATGCCAGGGACAATGAGAAAATGCTGAATATTTGTTTTATAATTCTGCTGTTTCCAGGCAAGGTGCACCAACTGGGACACAAGCTTTCCTATAGAGCCATGAGAGTCTGATAAGGATTTTACTTAGACTCCTCTTTCTATCTCCACTTTTATTCCCACATGGCTTTTAAAAGATTTTGTTTCTCTTTTTGTAGGCTGGGAGACATATTCTGCTTGCTCCTGAGAAAATTGATCTCTGCTATCCAATTTATTTTGTTTTAGTTAACAAGTTGGAAAAGCAGTCCATGGACCAGCTTCCAGATGTTGCTGGAGGCAAGCAACTCTCATCAGCCATCCTAAGCCAGGGCTTTTGAGAAATGGAACTGAACAACATCTGGAGGATCCCATGTTGCCAATTCCTGTTATTCACTTATACATGAATTAAGAATGAGAGGCCCTGCTGCATTGGAACACAAGTGTGTGTGGCAGATTAATATATATTGCTATCCTGTGGAAATATGATGATTTGCTATAGTTAACCATGATAAAAGTCACCCTAAATACAGAAAAATATGGTATGATGACAATGGAGTACTGTATATGCTTGGAAATGACTGTTACTGAATTCAAAAGTTCTTCTTTCTGTGTTGGTGCTACAGCAGAAGTCTCAGGAAACGCTTGTGTCTTCCCATCTAAAGATGGATTTGGAGGATGCCAGCATCACTAGAATGTATTTTTTTTTTTAATCCTTAGATAAACAGATGTACAATAAAGCACGTGGGAGACTTTCCAGGCTATTGTTGCCAATCAACCATTTGGCAGGCTTAACTAGCATCTCCCAGTGTGTCAGTTGCTGGGAGAGAGAAAACCTTGCCTGGTAATACCGCCAAACTTAGTATAACTCCAAAGGGAGAAATGGGGCATAAAAAAGTCTGAAAAAAGAAGAAAAAGAGAATCAAAAAGTAGAGGTGAGAGTGACCAGTAGAGCACAGAGAACTCAAGGGGGAATTTGGGTTAATTGTAATTCATCTTCCTTGTATAACGTATCTCAAAATTTAGATCTATCTTTTGCCTTATTTTTTAAACTACAGAGCTATCTGAGCTCAGCTTTGGAAGCTGAGTCTCCACCACAGTGTTCATATTTAACTCATGTTTTCAAGGATGTAGCCACAAGACATCTTTGGAAGCTGTTTTGAATGTATGGATTGCTAGAGTTTTACACTTTGCTGATTATTGCTTGAGCATCACAAAAGTGGTTTCAAATTTAAGTGCAAGAGTACCCCTATTTATTCAGCATTGGTTGGACTCTTCCATTCATTTTTATTCTTCTGAATGGTACTGCTTCCAAAAATAAAATACAGTCACTTTAGGAACCTGAAATGTGAAATCCATAAATCTCTGGGTTACCTCAAAAAGCATTGCAAGTTTGGTAATAATTGGTTGAAATTTGATCAAAATAAGTCAGCTTAAAATAGAATGCAGCCAAGGGCCAGGAATTCTGGTTGGTAATTAGATTTAGAGAAAAAGATTTCAGACAAGTGCCATTGTAAAACAAAAACAAAGATTTAGCCATACTTCTCCCCCCACCCTGCTATTTACTGGGCTGACCACCACTATCTTCTGATTGGCTCAGACTATTCCCTGCCTATTCTGAGGCTGGCATGGATGAAAATGTGAAAATATTCTAGAACAGAAGGAAATACCTCTATTGGAGCCCATCAGTGTTTTCTCTTATAATTTGTTCTAATACCTTAGTCAATATGAGAATCAGTATGATCCAGTTATAATGTACGTCTACATGAAGTTGGGGTATTTACATCCTTGCTTTTCTTAATTTCTCCAAGTTTCCTTATTTTTCTTTTTCTCCTTCTATCTTCAAAGTATCTACATGTCTGCAGATAGCTGCTTGTCCATATCGCAACAAAATTAAATTAATCTACTTAAATAGCATGCGAAACTAGTACCATAGCACTAAAAGTCACCTTAAAAATATTTTTTATTATCACCATTGACTTAATATTATAGACTAGAAAGTGAAAGTGCACATTTAGTCTATGAATTAGCCTATTTTCAACCAAAAATCACTTGACAAATGACTGGAGAGAGTCAGGAAAACTTATCTAAGTAGTAGTTTTCCCATCTCCGCACTTTGTTAACGGCCACTTTCCATTTGTTTGGGCTTGTCTTCTCTATTCCTTTCCCAATCAAGTCACTGAAGAGGATGCACTGGTATGAATAGCTCCTCTCCAAGGATGTCAGAGAAAATTCCTTTCTGTTATTGATGATAAACCATTTCAAGGATGACCAGATAGCATCCATAGGATGCAGGTAGTTGTAATCAAAAGGCACTGAGAGAAGTTCATGTCCTGTAGTCTTGGCAATTTCAGGGCAGCGTTTGATGTTCAACAAATAGGGGTGAGAAAAGGCCTGAGGATCGGTTATGTCCACTTCCTGGTTAGATGCTTCAGTCTTCATCCTTGATCGTTTTTTCTCTTTGACCACAATGGCACACTTCCCATAAGTAATAGAGAGAAAGTCACAGAATTCCTGAAACATGTCTTCCTGTTGCCCTAAGGGTAAGTCATCCCTCAGAAATACTCTGTATCTCCATGGTACCCATCCTTGGCTGTTGCCAGCATGTACAACTGTCCATACAGGCCAGTTGAGATTATCTTCATAAGGAAACTTGTCTCCTGTTATGAGACTTTCAGAAAGATCAGTTTCACCTAAAAATATAGTCTTGTAGTCATTAAGGTGCAGAGTTCTTAAATTTTTCAAATATTGTAGACATAGTTTTCTTGATGTAGCATCATGGGAACTCCTGTGGATAATGTGTTTTAAAAGTGGATTTACAATGCGATACATCATGGATTTCCTGGCAAAATTGAACTGCACAGAAAGTTCTAATGATGCCCAGGGATAGTGATGATCTCACAATGGATTTTACTGCTTGTATTATTCAATAATACTGAAACAAAAACTGAATAATGCATTCACATGTCTTGTGGCTAAATAATGGGAAAAATGAAGTGCACCTGAAAAAAAGGTTATTTGGAACAAACAACATTACTTACCCTGATAGGAAGGCAAAATTTTATACCCCAAACAATTACCTCTGAATTGGTGGGCAGTGGGGGTGGAGTGAGGCAGAATTTTAACATTTGCTAATAAGAATGGAAATAGCAGTTGGAAACGAGTGGGTCAGTGGTGCAAACAACTGCAAACACCCCTCCTGAAAATCAGGAATATATATATGAAGATTTGCCTGAAGGTCAGCTGTGGCTGAGCAATGCTCAGAACTTTAGTCACTTTTTCCTCTGACTACTTTTCCTTTTGGGGGTGGGGTCTTAAATTCAGAAAGATCTTTTCAACTAAGTGCAGTAAATGACTCCTTGGCATGTCTTAATTTCTCATAAAAGTGAGCATCTAAGAAAAATATTTTCAAGATGGAAGAATGATTAATAGGCTACATCTGTGAAGCACAAAAGCAACCTGGGTATTAGCTGTTGTGGAAAATTCAGAAGTTCAGAACACAACACTGAGGAGAAAGAACCATATTTATTGCAACCATCATTGGGTGCCCACTTTACAAAAATGAGAAACCTTGAAAAATGAGAAAGCAAAGATGTTTGAAGGCTACAAGGTGAGAAATCCTAGGGATCTGATTTGCTGGCCAGTTTGGGGGAAGCTAGGTAGGTCCTTGTCTGTGCACCTGGAGTTATTTCTATCGTTAGGCAAAATGGCCCTTTCAAGAGTGGCAGCAGAACTGGGGAAGTCCATTGTTAAGGAGATGGAATGCTGAGGTCATCAGGCTGATTGAAGATGGAATGTTGGGGGTTCTTACTATGTTGTAGCTTCCTTATCAGGGCTGCCCCTTGGGCAGTACAGATAGTCCTCATTTAACAACCACATGTTCAGCAACAGGTCAGAGTTATGGCAGCACTGAACAAGTAGACCTGCAACCGGTCCTCATAATTGCGGCTGTCACAGCATCCCCAGAATCATGCAATCATGATCTGGGCTCTTGGAAACCGGCTTGCAATTACGACAGTCACAGTGTCTCTTAATCACGTGGCTGCCATTTGTGATCTTCACTTCCAGCTTCTGATAAGCAAAGTGAACAAGGAAGCCAGCAGGTCACAAATGGCAATCATGTCGTTGTGCCTAATGACCACACAGGGTTCATTTAATGACAGAAACTGGAACTGCTGCAATTGCTGTTGTAAGTTGGCGCAGTCATGTGACATCACACTTTACAACTGTGTCACTTAGCAGTGAAATTGCCAGTCCCAATTACTGTTGTTAAGTGAGGACTACCTGTACTGTGATCTGGTCAGTGAGGCTTCTATTCTTTGGTTTAGATGGGATTGCAGGGGCTTTGTCTTGGCATATCATCAGACCCCCCTCCCCCATTTGCACATGTATCTGTGCACAGAAAGCTACTTAGAATTATTTTTATGTAGAAAGTAAATAAAGCAGTGAAAGTCAGCAATGATGATGGTAGACACTATCCCTTCCAATTATTCAGTTTAGTTTTAAAAATTTGTTTTAAAGAGCAATTGTCATACAGAAAGATTGTAACATTCAGTAATATATTAGCAACTAGATGACTGCTGACATTAATGAGGCCAAACCAGCTGTAGAATGCTAGCCATACAGGAGAAATTGACAAATAATAGATTCAATGGGAGGTAGAATTGCATCAAGTAATTTATTTTCAAGGGCTTTGACTGGAAATCTTTGAGATAAAATTTAGTTTGCTTCTACAGCTATTTACTTAATTACCATACTTTCTAGAAAAGAGATTCCTTTACATGTTTTAAGCAACTTTAACTAAGAAATTCTTTAAGGGACAGAACTTCAGATATGTCTGCTGTGAAGGTAATTCCCTTGCCAGCAGGTAGAGCACAGACATTCCCAATAAACATCCCCTTCTGAGCCTGCAGAATCCACATCTTCATCAGAGAGAAATGCTCTTTGTTGCCTAGGCTCAGAGAAATACCCCAGCCATTTCCAAGCTGGAGACAGAAAGTTTGAGTCCTTTAAAAAACAAACAGCCAAAGCAGAGCAAAACTGAGCAAAGCAGAGGCTGGAAAAAACATGGGAGTAAAATATCCCATAAAAGAGGGAAATCTAGAAAGGGAAGCAGAAGATGCTTTTGCTTCTGAAAGTCTGCTGTTTTCAGAAGAAATGGGTAAACATTCTGACCAGACATTGTGTTAGGTTTCTAATTTTTGTTTTACTCTGTTTCTGCTAAGGCAAGACTCATTTTCATGTCACACTTCCTCCTCCCATCTCCTTACTGGGACAGAAAAATCCTATTTGTAGGAGATCAGTGGCATCTTGTGGCTTGCTGAGAGGATTGCATCTTTAAATTTTATTTCTTTTAAACAAAGTTGCTGTTTTCCTATAATCTGAGCAACTCTGTAATTGATCTTCACAACTGAATAGTTGCATTTTGAATATTTAAAGTTGTGTAGTATATTTTATCTCTTTTTTGTAATGAAAATTGGTTTTGTTTATCTCTTGTGAGATAGATCTGTCTCCCAGGGATGGGCTGAAATCCTCTAGCCACATGCCTGTAAGCTACAGTACATAACCAGGAGATTACATTATAGAAATTGTTCCTTTTTTCTTTTTAATTATCTTCAAGGACATGAGGGTTAAGGGAGAACAGCAGGTGAGGTGCCGCCTGGGAGATAGGTAGTGGCAAGCAGGAACTACCAAGCCACTACACCAAAACAAGAGGTGGGAATAAGTTATAAAGATGCAGAGGGGTTGTGGGGGTAGAGGTTTGAGACTTCCAGTCTTTTGTCCTTTAGGCCTAACATTTCAGTTATAGAGTCAAATTACAAACTTTTTGTATTATTCAAAACAAAGCCTTTAAATTTAATACTCCATTACTGCATTCCTTTGGGTGTTAACAGGTGTTGAAGATGGATTTTATGCTTATTTGGCTTCTTATCATAGGACTGGTAAACAGCTGCCTTTTACTATTAGACTATCAATCCACCTAGCTTAGGATGATCTAGTATGGCTGACTGCAGATCTCTTGAATCTTAGCTAGCATTTAATGTGTCTTTCTCCAAGTTCATTGAGACTGTAATTCCTAGAATTCTATAACTCTCAGAGAGGATGCCAGATTGAAAAAGAGTGCTTCAAACATAAGACGTTTCTAAGCTTTGCTTCTTGAACTCTCTGGGTTTGACCTTCACAGCTTCAGCATGTAAGTCATGTGCTCTGTCTCCCTGGACACCCCAATAGATTCTCACACCATGGCCTGTGCCTGCAGTGCAGAAAGCAAGAGCCAAATGCACAGGGCAGTTGTATGGATTTCAGGAATTAGATACCTAATTTCTAATGTGTTTATACAATTCATTTATACAAAGAGTATAAAAATATGCTTTCAGGAAAATTGAGTAGATTCTATGTTCCTGAGCCCCATATATTCCTCTATTGAATTCCATAAATATAGCTTCCAGACAGCACACTTGTAGCAAAGTGCATGCAGATGAATGGAAAACAGTCTGGCAAAGCTGTAATCTGAACTGAAGGAAGAGTGCATGGGTAGTTTGTCATGTCGGTAGAAAATACCACTCTTGTCAAAATTAAAATGACTGCCTAATTTGGCTGTCCCCAATGTAAAAGAAATAATACAGTCATATTTACCATATGCTGTTTGGTATGAAAAAGATTCACATTAAAAAATCTCATTGTTGACATATACATATCAAGTTTCCACTGTCCTTTTCTGAAGGTTCCCTTCAGATACTAAAGAAGCATAGGAGAGAGAGAGAGAGAGAGAGAGAGAGGGAGAAGGCTATTTGTACAGGACTCTTCCCATGATTTTTGATATTGTGTCTGGAGGATCAACATTTTGCTATAAGTAAAGTTGTTATTTTGCACTATAGTGCACTACTCATTTCCTATACCTTGTCTCCTTTGAGGTCCTATTTATGTGAACTTTGGGCCCACAACAGTTTTCATATAGCACACACTGATTTCCAGATACAGTTTTGCTACTTGCTGAACAATGAACTGACTTTTTGATTCTACATTCAGCCTTAATTGCTTGGGGTATATCAGTGACAGAGGCCAACAGCCAATTTCTGCACTGTTTACATGCATGATTCACATAAAATGTAAATTACAGACACTTCAAAGACCATGTGAATGAGTTCAGAAATTTTTCTGTTATTTATATTTAAAAACAACCTGGAAGACAGGTTATTCTTGATTCTGTTGAGATGAACAGCAATTCATATAAAATGTCTAAAGTAAAGGTTTATAGTATTTAACACACTGGGATGGGGTGGGGGAGGAGAGATGGAGAAAAAAAATTATTCCATAAATGGCCATGCAGGTTAGGGAAATCTGGGTGTTGAAGCCCAAACATTTGGAGGGCACTCAGATTGGGAAGGCTGCTCTAAGCTAATAGAAGGGCATTCAGAAGAAGCAGGAAAGTTTTCCCACCCAACTGGATAGGCTGTACTTCATGATCTTTATAACTCTTTGGGGGATGTCTCAAAATTATATGAAGGGTATTCAGGAGCCACAGGTTTTCCCCAGTCACTTCAGTTATGGCAGCAGTTGGCTTTATAACTTAGGATGGCTTTCAATCCCAGGCAGCTATGAAGTTGTTCCATCAGTCCCAGACTCTCTGAAAAGAAAGTGATCAGGCTGTTTCTAAAGAAACCAAATCTGAGCTCAGAGCATGAAAACGCCTATAGGCCTGTGGCCAATACTTCTTTCCCCAGCAAGGTGCTTGAATGGATGATGGCCCATCCACTTCAGGCTCTCTTGGATGAAACTGATTTTCTAGATCCATTTCAATCCAGTTTCAGGCTGGGAGAGGTCATCCAGGGATGTGGGCTAAGGTGACATCAATATGCAGATGACACCGAGCTTTTCTTCTCCTTTTCATCTAATGCAGGTGAGGTAGTTGGCATTCTGAATCAGTGCTTGAGCAGGGTAATGGACTGGATGAAGGCCAATAAACTGAATCCAGATAAGACAGAAATATTGCTTGTGGGTGATGCATCTGTCCAGCTAAGTGGTGCAATACCTGTCCTGGAAGCATCTGCACTCACTCTAAATGAGCAGGTTCACAGTTTGGGGGGTGCTCCTAGATCTTTCACTGTCATTAGTGGCCCAGGTTGCCTTAGTGGCACAGAATGCTTTTTATCAACTTCAGCTGATTTATCAACTGCAATTTTACCTGGTCAGAGACAGTCTCATAACAGTTATTCACACTCTGGTAACTTTGAATTGGGTTACTGCAATGCATTGTACAACAGGCTGCCTTTGAAAACAGTCCAGAAACATCATTTAGTTCAAAACAGAGTGGCTAGACTGCTTCCTGGGCCTGGCCAATGCAATTTATTATGTCAGTTCTTTGCCATCTATACTGGCTGTAGGTCCATTTCTGCACCAGATTCAAAGTGCTGGTTTTGATCTTTAAATTGCTAAACAGTTTAGGGCCAGGAGTGCCTTCTCCTGGATGTACCTACCCAGACCTTAAGATCTTCCAGTGAGGTCCTTCTCCAGGTCCCATCACCAAAGGAGGTAAGGTAGACCACTACAAGGAGGAGAGCTTTTTCTCTGGTGGCACTCCATTAATGGAATTTCCTCCCCAGAGAGGTTTGCCTAGGACCCACAATAGCATCATTTTTGCACCAGGTGAAGACCTTTCTATTTTCTCTGGCTTTTTAACTGACTTTTAAGTATATTTTAATTCCATGTTCATTTCTATTGTTTTAGTTTTTGAACTACCACCTTTCAGCTGCTTAGTTTATATGGTGTTTTTATTTGGCATTTTGCTGTATGTGTTTTTATTCAGACTGTATTTTTTTAGTGTGTTTTATTGAAACCACCGAGAGAACTTTGGCTACAGGGTTTAAAAAATAGAGAAAATAAAATAAATAAGTAGTGAGGGTAACAGCAGATTTCAGCCGGGTTTTATTTCATTCCTGGTGAAAAGTGCCTGAAAGGACATTCTTTCCTACCTTACTGCCCAACAGATATGTTGGACTACAACTCCTGTTATCTCCAGCCAGCATGTCTAAAGAAAGCTGATGTACATTATGGATGTAACTATAATTATAATCCTTTCTCTTTAAAGTGGTTTTCCCCTCCCCCTTCTTTATGATGTACAAGTAGGAACTAGAATGAAACAATGTGTTAACAAGAACGTGGGACTATAATGAAGAATGGTGAGCTTTTCAATCCACCTTTGGTTTGGTAATGTCTAGTAAACCTAAGACATGCCCTGGATTCATCACATAATTCCAGGAATGCACAACTTTTCCTAGACAAGGGTCACACTTAGCTTTTGATGGTGAGTTAGAAGCTACACTTGATTTCATTTCATTTTCATTTAGACGTAATTAAACTTCAGTATAGTTAGCCTGCCTATTCTCTAGCCATGGATTTTAATAACATTCCTTTTTTGTCAACATTGTCATGTAAACATGACAATTTAATAATTTTCAGAGTCTTCTGACTTTCAGGGGCACTTGCAACCCTGGGCTCCAGATATATCTCCTCTCTGTTTTGCATTTTCTACCCATGGATAATGGACCAATAATAAGCCAGGGCAGGATAGTAGCCTTCTAGCTAATGTGAACTTTTATTTTATTTGACTCTTTCATCCCTTTTGTTCTTCTCTTAGGTTGTGAAGAGGTCTCCACAACAGAACACAGCTACAAGAACAAAGGTCTTTACAAACACACAATTAAGAAACAAGAAGGAAGATGGCTTATATATTCCATGTGGGACACATCACAAAAGTGCATGTGAACATGAATATAAAAGAGTCATACAAGTTTGAACTTGATTACCAAACTGTCAGTGGAAACTTCATGGAGCTTAGAATAGGAAAACTATAATGCTGCTTAGGAATAAGCAAGTCTTTTCTTGTACTGTGGATAAGAAGGTTGCTCCAAATGAGGCTTGCCAGGAACTGGCCCAAGTTAGTGCAATCAGATCCGACACTTTAGCTGGCAACAAAATCATCCACAGTTAAAAATAGGTCATGACGCTGCACCTTCATGTTTTTCTGCACCAATTCCGTGCTTGGAGCTTCTGCCACTGGGCAACTATCGGTCTTTTGGCACTGACCATCTATGTTAGCTTCTGTTGTTACACCCTTTCCAACATTAACCATTATAGTGTTGCAGGAAGGCCTCCTATTTCCTGGAAATTTATTTTGAAAGAGGTGATCCATGTAGTTTTCCCGCTGCCTGAGAACAATATTGCTGAGCATCATAGAGAAAAGGAGAAAGGCAAAAAATCCAATAATAATCAGGATGTATAGAGAAGCCGAGATTTCTTCTTGCTCTACAAGAGATGGGTTTGTATAATTAAGTTTCCTTTCCCTGTCTTGCATATAGATAGATAGCAAACTGTTCAGAACAGACTTTACTTCTGTGGGGTTGACGTTCATTTTATAATGTCATCTGAGCTGCAAAAACAAAGAAGACAAAATACCAGTCAGGCTCATGTTTGACTACTTCCCATTGTGATAAGAACACATCAAATATCCACAAACTACTTTTCTTCTACCATTTTTTTTCCCTCAAGGAGTGTATATGAGACAATATTACTACAGTAGCTACTATAATGAAAGGAATATGCCAGTGTGATGTAGGAACTGAGGAGCGGGACTTGGATCATTCATGTTGAAACCCTTACTGGACTGTGGAGCAACTCTGTGACTGGTCCAAACAATAAAAAGAATCTGGTAGCACCTTTTCCAACTGACAAAAGCATATCCCTTAATCCAACCTACTTCACACAATTCTTGTGGAGAGAAAATTAAGGAAGATCCTAATGTAGGCTGCATTGATTCCATAAAGAAAAAAATATATAAAGGTAATAAATAAAGAGGACTTAACTTCTTATCAAATTGGTGCTGCCAGCTGGAAACCATTAGATTACTTCAAACTGCTCCTTGTGTCTAGAAACTAACATAGATTCATGTTAATGATTTGTCTTCTTGTGTTCTGGGACATCGGAAGCTAGATTTATAAGCAAAAATGTTAATTTCTAAAATATCAACATTCAACATAGAAATGCCCTGGAAAGAGCTGCTTTGTACTTGGTACCCACAGGTTCTCTCTTGCTTTTTTTTTTTTAATATGGAGAAACCATTTCCTCATAATAATTTAGGGCATGTTTATTTCTCATATCCCTGTTTTTTAGATACACTGATCCTGACCATAATTATATGCTTCTCGTGCAACATCACCAAACTTCTTAGACCAAATATCAGTTTATGCCACATGTACAGATCCAGAGATCCATGCACTGTGATAACTCAAAACTGATATAATTTTGTGTTCAGAATGACCAAAATAAAAAATAAAAAAATCCTAATGGTTATAAGTATCTACTAACAAATAAGGAACATACAGAAATAAGGTAAACACATTAGACTTACAGCAGGCTACAGATGCCTTGGGAAGAGATCATAGTGAGGCAGCAAGGTCAATGTACACTGCAGCTCCAGCTGGGATCTTTCCTTTTCTATTCACACTTCTCACCTGCTCTCAAACACAATGTCTTCCTGACTGGTCTCCACACTTGTTTTATATCATCTGCTCTCCTGATTCTATGTCAAATGTTACTTTTGAATGTGGACAGCAAGGCATTTCCTTCCATGGGCTATTTTGGATCCCTTTTGTGAGATCCAAACATGAGTTATCATTGGCCATGAGGAATTGTGGGAATATCCTGGATGATTCAGTTCTGCTATTGCTAGCAACTCATCTTCCTCCTTCGGTATTATTACACTTTAATGGCAGTGTTTACACTGCATGAGGCTTGTGACTGAGCCACCTGGAATCTAGCACCCATTAATATTCAAATAGACCCTGGGTTCCATGAGTTGAAGGAGTGCGCTTTCCACTTCATACGTGAGGGTTGCTTAATAGAATTACAACAGCAGATGTGCAGTTTATCTTTGTTTTGCAACCATAATGATCCTTTGCAGGAATCCTTCTGTACCTTATGGAACATACAATCTTCAGTTGGGAGCATTACTTGCCCTTTCCCAATGTGCTTGTGAGAAGTGATCACGTGTTACAAATTGAGCATATGAGGGAAGAAAGAGGAAACAGGTGGAGTGAGATGGAGTCTGGTGAAAGAGGACAAAGTGAGCAGGAGAAAGAAGACCTTTATGGAAACTTGTGGTAAGAGGTGTTTAAATAATTTGGGAGGAGGAAAAGAGTGGAGTTGGGGATAAGACCAAATCAAAATAGGATCTGCCATTAGAAGGATGAAAAGGTGGGGACAGGGTCAGGGGTCTGAGTGAATATAAGAACATGAGAAGAGCTCTGTTGGATCAGATCAAACACCCATCTAGGTTAGCATTCTACCTACTCTAATGGCCCAGCATCTTCCTGCACTTAAAAAGCGTACAAGCAGGGCTTGAGAATAATACTTTACTTTCATCATCCTCAGCAACTGCTATTTCATGATTCTCAGCAACTGGATGCTGCCTGTGATTTGGGAGACATTATACACCCATTAAGACTAGTAGCCATTATAGCTGTCACAGCCTTCAGAAATTTATCTAGTCACCCTTTAAAGCTTCCTGAATTGGTAGGGATCAAATCTGATGGCAACACATTGCATAGTTTACTTATGTATTGGGTAAATAAGTGGGTTCCTTTTCTGAGTCCTGCATCTTCCTTATTTAGCTTCAACTGAGAAAAAACTTTTCCCTATCCATCTTTCTCACCCCTATATTATTATACTTTTATCATGCCTCTCTGTTCTTGCATTCTTTCTAAGCTACAAAAATCCAAATGTTCCCATCTTCCCTTATAAGTTGAATTATTCTGATTGCCCTTTTCCATACTTCCTCTGTGTATATGTATGTGTGAGACAGTACGTGTGTCTGTCAAGAGAAAGACAACAAAATCAGTACAGCCCACAGATTTACATACTGTAGAATCCATAGGTATTTGTCAGCCAAAAGAGTAGCTGCAACAAACTAAATAAAAAATGTGTTGAGCAGTATGGTGCCTCTGTGCTTCCAGGATGATACTATTGTAGTGACCTTAGCCAAATTGTTGTGAAATTCCAGATAAACTTCCTAGTTCTTATAATGAAGCATACTTTTAGTGGGTTTATTTATTTATTTTGGTGAACCAGGAAAGTTTTTCCCGATGAAACAAACAAAATAACACAGGACTAACTCATCAACAAATGAACATAACTATGCCTAGAATCATAAAAATCCAGCAGCCAGAGAACCTTCACAAAGTTGTCTGACACATGGTATACAACTCTTTAATAAATTGTATCGTCTTCAAATCCCTTGTTTGTTTCACCATTTCCTTGATCAGATAAGACCAATGACAAGGCTTTACTGGCTTTGTGCCCAATGAAGAACCTATTAGCAACTCAGTGCTTCATCTTGCCTCCTCTTATATACACATGCCATTCCCCCTCCTACACACACACAAATAAAGCAAACTGAATTGCTACTGTTCCCAAAGTCTCTGTGTTAACCATTGTGACAAACTTACATTGCTTTTCAAACACTTAATGCTGGTGTCAGGCATAGGGTGTCAAAAAAGTCAAGATGGAAAGGGTGACTCTGCAATCCAAGCTCTATTTCTTTTAATGTGCAGATGCCCCTAGCTGATACAGCAGTAACTCTGCATTTGGCTTTTTAATCTAATCATGCTACTACCACAGTCTCAGGAGCTGGGAGAAGGAAGAAACCAAGGATCTCTCCAATGAAGTGGCATTCACTGATTTGATATGGCATTTTCCTGCCTATGGATACCATGCTACTGGCACAGCAGGTATCAAATTGATCACAGTTGCAAGCCACTGATTATAATAGCATGTGATTAATTGTGGGGTGGGGCTCGCCATGCCCCATTACAAGAACAGTAATGATAATTACCTTATGGCAAATTTACCTTGTAATTACCTTATACATTATATCAAGTTTAGGGCCCAAATACTCTGTGTGTGTGTCTGACAGAGAGAGAGAGAGGGAGAGAGAGAGATTCTGAGCTCTTCTGTACAGAGAATAATGGAAGAAAAATATCACCAGCTGTTGGGAACTGAAATATTCTATATGTGGTGAACACTTTGCCCAGATGTTCCCCTTCAAAACTGCTGAAGTTCATTCCCGCTTCACAGTCTGCAAATGAGATGGTAGATCTGGGTATGGGGCGTTGCAGCCCTACAATTTATCTCTGATGATCTATTAATTTAAACATAATGTAATAGATAATTATGGTCAGATAAAATCAGAGGAAGAGGAACAAGAAGATTTTTTTTCAGGACGCAAAGAGGTGGCAAAGACCAAGATTAGAACAGAAAGGTTTTGTCTTAAGCATTAAATTCAACTTTTCTGAAATTGAAAGCTGGAGAAGAAATAGGCTGTCAGAAGATTCTGTCCCTCACAGTGTCTGCTAGTCATCCTTGATCAGAGAAGTCAAATACATTTTATCTTTGTACTTTAAAATACAGTTTTGTGCCCATTTACCTTCAAGATTTTTTCCAAAGAATGCTGCAAGTGGTAGTTTGTATAGATGGGGAAAATGATCTGAGCTCCCTAGCCAGTTTTCAGTACTCTCTGGAAAGTGAGAAAAAATTGGTTATTCTGTTGATAGAGTATGGAGATGCTCTCAGTTAGCTCTTTACCAGTGGATTATTATGCTGAATGTCTAACATTGTGAGCCAGGAAGGAAGGAATGCTTGATTTATGAGATGGTTGTAGAAACGGCTTTTTTCTGTTCAGTCTGCTTTGGCTGGACTTTTGGAGTTCAGGTGGTTAGGCTTGGTGGCTGCTCTTCATTTTATTTCACCCCGTGTGGTGTTCTTAGCTTAGGGTTTTATGTGGGAACTGTTTGTTTATATATTTAGGTATGTAAGTGCCCAGAGTCTATGATTTTAGTGGCGTCTAAAATCTGATAAACAAACCAATAAATAAATGCTGTAAGAGAAGGGAGGATGGAAAGAACATTTAAAGGAACATTTAGGAAGGGCACAAAGAGCATGTAGGTGAGTCACACGATTGTGACATTTCCATGGGTGTTTTGTCACTTGTCCCCTTCCCTCACCCATCTTCCCCTACAATCATGGAAATAAAAGCTGAATATATTCCTTCCTGTCACATTATGTTTCTAGTTGTAATGGTTTATATTGTTCATAAACTGCATTGGGAAGAACATTGTTCTGAAAGGTGGGATATCAATAGTTGTAACAAGTAAAATAAATATGATATCAGGGCATCCTAATAGCATTTTAACCCCAATATCACAAATAATATTTTCGTATCATTTCAAATGATGTCAAGCACACTTTCATACCCGCTAATGATGGATGGGCAACCTTTGTTTTGGAGGAGTCTTCATCCTTAAAAACTCACCCCAGGAAGTTCTGTGTGTTTCATTTTTGTTTTATTTACAGCCAGTGGGGATGGCTAGCCCCATAGAGGCCTCCTGTCTTCAGCCCCAGATTCTTTATCTTCTTGGACTCTCCTTTTCCTCTTTTTTAGTAATGTTTTTAAAATGTTGATGTTTTATGTATTTATATGTATTTATGGTTTTAATGTTTTGTGTGAGTTGCCCAGAGTCCCCCAATGGGGGGAGATGGGCAGGGGAGAAATTAAATAAATAAATAAATAAATAAATAAATAAGTGATAGCAGGGGAAAAGAAGGGGTGCTGTAAATCCAACTGCAGAGAGTCTTGGCCTGCATGAGACTGGCATGCCTTACTGAAATAGGAGCTTCTGAGCTGTCTTGGAGCACTGCTCTTGTACCACGTTTGATGGGAGGTCTCTTGTCTCAATGAACTGGCTTATTCAAAGCAGAGCATGTTATTTTCAAAAAGTATTCCAGTGTGCCAATCAAGGACCTTTCTTATCCAGAATAAGATTTTATTTTCAAGTACTGCGCTGAAGTCCTTGCTCACCCAAAGCAATATTTTATTATCAGAAACTAAGTGCTCGAAAACCCTTGCTTATCAGATAATACTTTATTTTCAGATTCTTATTTACCAATTAGCCACTGTAGTGTAGTGCTTAAGGTGGCTACTAGGAGTGGAGAGATCCAGGTTCTGGTCTGCCTTGAACCACAGAAGCTCACTAGCTGTGAAAGAATGTAGAACTAACTTTGAGAAAAGGGAAGGAATGAGCATGCTGTTAAGGGGGCACTTTGTGAAAAGATTACTCAGCTCTGAGAAAAAGAGTATGAGAAAGAAACGCAAAATAACTATGCCTTGATTTTGTTTAGTATAAGATGGGACAGAGAGAAACTTGCACAGCTTTCAAGATTCTGTTATCCTACCATAATACAGTAAAGAGCATTCCAGGAATCTCTGCAGTGCCTGCTTCTAGACCATGCCTCACCATTAGGACTGGTGCTAGATGGCTTTGGGCCAGTCACCATCTCTCTGTTGGGGAAAAATAGGAGGAAGGAGCAGTGTGTACACTGTTTTGAGCTTGGGAGGGAGGGAGGGAGGGAGGGAGGTCCAAGCAAAAGCATTAGGGACCTACACACAGGTCCTCAGAAAATCCCCAGAAGGACTGGGGCTTTTGAAGCCATATCCCACCCCCCAAAAAACACAAAACAAACAAACCAAAACCACCAACCCTTCTATTCCTTTATGGAACATGTGCTTCTGATTTCTCACTATGCCATAATGGGATGCATGATATAAAGGCATGTTGAGCATTGGGCAGTATGGAAATGCCAAGTGTCTAAAATTTTCTGGAGTGCTGATGAGCTTTATACAGCACAGCGACAGGCAGAACAGGGAACATTTGGAGGTGGAATGTAGGGTTAATCATCGCAAGAGAATTTGCTATGAATGACTGTACTGAATGGTACAGTTTGAGATGCTGTTTGTACTTTTATCTGTGCTAAATGCCTGATTCCATCCAACTGAAATTGTTTAGCTATGCAAGGAAAAGGAAAGTTTTATTTTCCTTTGGGCTCATTTTTAATAAAATTGATTTTTATATCTTAAGGTTGATGCTTTTATTTTCATCTCCTTAAAAGGAGACAGGTTGATGTTCTCTGGCAACATACCCCAAAGGAGCAGGAGATGATGCTACAGACTGGTTTTTTTTCTTTTTCATTATTACTGTTATTATTCCCAATCAGAAGCACATATTATTCCCAGTTTATATATGAGCAAGTTGTTCAGGCTGGGAATGCCCCATCTAACTTGCAAGCTGGTATTAAGTGGAGGAACCTGGTCAAAGTATTTCCTTCCTCCAAGGAGATGGGTGGTGGCAGTGGTAGTGTACATAACTGATAACCAGAAGCTGCATCTGGGCAGGAGGAGGCAGAGCTGAAAGGTGCAGCCAGGAGGGTCAAGACCTTTCCCATCACCCACCATCAAGTACCCCTCCTCTGGCCATCCAGTACAAAGACATTTTCAGTAAATTAGTTCCCAGCAACGTCAGAGTTCAGAAACTGCATGTACATAAACAAAAGCCCATCACACTGGAAAAAAGAACAATTATCATATGGCTGAGTGTTTTAAAAACCACTTTTCACTGAGTACAAATGGAAGTGCTGACAAAGATGACAATTCCTTCCCAGTACTTTTGAAGATTCTAAACTTTCAGTTAGGACTCACTTTCTGCACATGCCCACAATATTCTATGTAGATACTAAAATATTGCAAAACATTTCTCTAATTCAGAACTCAGTCTAGAGAATTGTTAGCTTTTGGCAAGCACAATGTAGTTCTGAAGCATCTATTGGAGAAACAAAGTGATGGGAGCAATTTGTGATGATGGCACTACATATTATTTAGCATTTCTAATGTTAAAATATGAGGCAAAGTCTCTTTCCTTTGAACCATGTGATTTTTCAGGTGATCCTCTATCATCATTATTGGTTGGCAAAAAAAGGTGCCAAGAGAAAAGAGAAGACACTTCTTTTTGTAATGAAATTCCAGGAAAGATATACTGCAACTTGATAGTTAAACATGTCTCAGACAAGAGTCCTAAATATTTAGGATAGCAATTTCATTTTGAATATAATTTCACTATAGTTATGACAATGATCCTGTTCCACAAAAACATCAGAAACTGAAACAAAGATAGGCTAACCGGAACCTGAGAGAATAAAAAAAGCAAAAGACATTCGATATAGGAATTATATAATCACTGTCCGCCTAGAGTTATGTCTCAGTTCAAGAACAGTTTGTATCCCACTTACTAATCCATTAATTATACTTAAGAATAACCATGTCTGATCATCTGAAATTGCCAAGTTCCATGTTGAAATCCTTGTATTTTATCAGAACACCCTGCTGTACTTGAAGCAAACATTTC